TCAGAGAGGGGACGCGCGGGGGCCGGGGGTGAGGGGGGCCGGTGGGGCCCCGGGGGGCCTGGCCCCGCGCCACGGGGCGCGCGCCTCGGGCTGCTGGGCTTGCGGCCCCCGCCCCTTTCTCTTTCGGATTCCCGGTGGTACCCCGTATCCCGCCGTTTCTTAAAAGTGTGTCCAGTCGGGGCTTTCCCCAGGGGCGATGGGCCGGGGCTCCGCTGTCTTAAGTCTGGCGTCTCCTCTGTGGCTTTTCGCTCCTTCCCCACGCTCTGCCCAGGAAGGCGCCTACAGCTTGCGCCTCGAGGGGCCCACTACCGCCTTGCCCACGGCGGGCAGTTTTCAAAGGGATGGGCTCGCCCACAAAGGCAGACTCCCTGCTGCCCCTCCTACCCGCGTCTTATTTCCTCCATTCTTTTGAAAAAAATTTGCCACAATTTGTCAGCTTTAGCGGGACCCGCCAGCCCTGCGCCGGCTCTCCGGGGAGACTGCCTCATCTCTCCGCCGCCGGGTCCCCGCCTTAAGATCCGCGAAGGTTCTGTTCAGACTTGGGAGACGCAGCCCGAATCTCGGAGCTCCCCTCCCAGAAACTCCCCATCCCCTTTTGTTTTTATAGAATCTCAGCTCCTCCCCTTGATTCGGCTCTTAAAGGGCCAGTCCATCTTAGACTAGCCGCCATCCAGCGCTGGAAGGATGCTGAGAGGCCAGTTAGCCCTCCACTGGCTCTGCAGACAAAGAGCTTAGGCCCGGCGGCCGACATGACCTATGAGAGGTCACGGTGCCAGCTCCCATGAAGGCAGGACTTGAACCCAGCTTTCCGACTAAGGTGTCAGAGCCTCTTCAGGGGATGTATGTCAGCCCCAGACCCACAAAACACAATGGTCACAGGAGCCACTCTGGTCCGCCTTTTGTTTTCCCCACCCTGACTCTCTACAGGGAAAGTGACCACTTGAGTGACTTACGTGGCCAAATGAAAGTGCCTCCAAACTGCCGGAAGGGTGGAGGACTGTCTGGGGTCTCTGGTTGGCCAAAGGGAACACTGCTGGATGAGCAGGCTGTTCTCCTGTCTGGGGCCCACCTCTGGCTGGGGCCCACCTCTGGCTGTTGGGCAGTGGCCAGCTGCTGGCCAGTGCAAAAAATAATTCACCAGAAAGACTTGATGGGCTGCCTGGGGGTGGCCACTCCCTGCTGCAGTGTTTAGGCAGCCAGCTACTCTGGCTCTCTTTACCCCTCTCCGGAGTCCTGACTCCCTGAGACTCCCAGGAAGTCAGGGTCCTAGAAACTCCTTTCCCTAGAGGTATTGACAGCTTTGTCAGGGGAATCCCTCCCATGGGAGCTTACATTTGGGACACTGTCAGGGCTTATAAGGCACACCTTCTCCCTCCACTTCTCAGGAAGCTGTGGTTGAAGCTTTATTGGAAAACTGGAGATGATCTTTTAGGTGGGGCCCTCCTTATGACCCAGGGGCCTCAGACGGGTGGGTTCTGTGCCGACTGGTTACAGACAGATGCCCCCTTTGTTCTTCTCACCCTGCTGCCCACTCTGCGTGCGCTGGCTGTGCCCGCCTGCATGCTGTTCTCCCGGCTCTTGCCCCCTGCAGCTCTCGCCCAAACAGGGGGCTTGCAGAGCCCACTGCCTCCGTGGCTGTCCCCTTATTTTTTTTTAAAAGTCAGCGCCAGCCCCTCACAATGCCTGTGTCCTTTTGTTCTTGGTTCACTCTTACAGGATGCTGGTTCTTTGTGAGGGCCCGTGATTTGACTCCCTTCTTTTATGACTATGGCCATCCTTTTCCCGACCCCACACTCCTCTCCCCCACATCCCTTTATTGGGGTGCAAAATCAAAGCCTAGGATTCTTTCTCTGATATTAGAGATTGAAAACTTGTCTCCCTTTTCCCCTCTTCAGGGCCAGATCTTCAGCTGGAAGGGGGTGCCTTGGGGTCCTGGGGGAGTGCCCCCCTCCCCTCCTCCAGGGCCAGGGGACCAGCATCTTCAGGCAGGAAATACTCAGACCACTGTGAGGCCCGGGCCTCGAGGCCTGGCAAGAGCCGCATCCCTGGCCGTGACCACCGGCGCTACTACCACGACCACTGGCGGCTAGAGTACCTGATGGATTTCAACCCGGCCCGGCACGGCATGGTGTGCATGGTGTGCGGCAGCTCCCTGGCCACGCTCAAGCTCAGCACCATCAAGCGGCACATCCGCCAGAAACACCCCTATTCCTTACATTGGAGTCCCCGGGAGAAGGAAGTCATCAGCAACAGCTGGGATGCCCACTTGGGGCTGGGGGCCTGTGGAGAGGCCGAGGGCCTGGGGGTCCAGGGGGCTGAGGAGGAGGAGGAGGAGGAAGAAGAAGAGGAGGAAGAAGGGGCTAGCCTCCAAGCTTGCCCGCCCAAGGGCCCAGGTAACGGGAGACCTGGAGAGGCGGGGGTCTGGTTGGTGGGTGGGGCAACCCAAGACTGCCCTGGCATCTCTGCCAACCAGAGATATTGTTGAGCCAGTCATTGCACTTTTTCAGGGGTGGGGATGTTTGCTCATTACCCTTACTGTACAGCAGTAGTGGGGAGTGGACTGTGCGATGGGGGGCCTAGCATCCCTGACAGCTTTGACTTTGGTGGTTCTAGAAGAATCCAGACTGGCAGAGGTTGGAGAGGCAGGCAGGGAAAGGTTGGGAGTGGAGGGGAATGGGAAGGTGTGGTTGCAGAGTGAGGAAAGGGACTAGAATCTGGGTCTGGGGTGGAGTAAGGGAGGTCTAGGGTGTGTGTGTGGTGTGTGTATGGGGGAATGCAGGCTTGAGGATTGGAAGGTGAAGACTGGAGCAGAGAGGAAGCCAAAGGGCCAAGGTGAGGTTGCAGGCTGAGTTGAGCCAGAGGTTGGCGGTGGACCTGGCTGTGGTGGGGGGCTCCCCCAGAGGTCCAGCATCTTAGTTCCTTCCCTCCCTCCAACCCTTTCAGGCAAAACTCCAGCTGGTGGGGGTGGCTGGCGCCAGCAGCAAGGGGGCCCAGTGGCACCCCCGGCTCGGCAAGGCCTCTCCACCTCCCGGAGGGCTGGGGGCTGCAGGGGGCAGGGTGCCCGGCGCCTGGAGCGGAGGCTGAAGGAGTCCCTGCAGAACTGGTTCCGGGCAGAGTGTCTCATGGACTATGACCCGCGGGGGAACCGGCTGGTGTGCATGGCCTGTGGCCTGGCACTGCCCAGCCTGCACCTGGACGACATCCGGGCCCACGTGCTGGAGGTGCACCCCAGCTCCTTGGGGCTCAGCGGCCCCCAGCGCAGCGCCCTGCTACAGGCCTGGGGGGGCCAGCCCGAGGCACTGTCTGAGCTCACCCAGTCCCCATCAGGTGCGAGGCCCCTCCCAGGGCCAAGACCCCCCCATATTAGGGCTGCAAAGTGGGGTCTGTGACCAAAACTGGGAGGGACTCAAACCCCCTTCCACTTCCTGGCTGGGCTTCTAGCTTGGGGCTGGGGTGAGGAGCAAGGGACCCCCCTCTGCCTAGGTAAGGGTAACCCAGCCAGCAGGCTGAGCTCTCCCTCACCCCTTCCCCAACAGACGATGACCTCGCCCCCCAGGACTTGACCAGAAAGAGCCTCGACTTGGCCCCCGCTGCGGGAGCCCCCTCCTCTCAGGATCTCAGTCCCCCAGACCTAAAGGAAGAGGCTGGCTGGGTCCCTGAGAGGCCCGGGCCCGCAGAGGCCGAGGATGGGCTGGAGGAGGGCCAGGGGGTGGGGGACCAGGGCCGGCCTCCGCGGGGCCGCAGCCCCTGCCGCCACTCCCAGGAGCGCTGGCGGCTGGAGTACCTGATGGAGTTGGACTGCGGCCGGCGCGGCCCGGTGTGCCTGGCGTGCGGGGGCGCGCTAGCCTCGCTCGAGATGAGCACCCTCCAGCGGCACCCACGCCAGCGCCACCCGGGCTCCACCCGCCTCGGCGGGCCGGCCAAGGCCCTCATCGCCCAGGAGTGGAGCGAGAAGGCCGGCCACCTGCTGGCTCTGGGGCTGCCCGGGGACCCTGCCGCCCCCAGCACGGCCGCAGCCTCCGAGGAGGGGGGAGGGGCGGCGGAGGAGCCAGAGGAGGAGCGGTGGGGTGAGCTGGTGGAGGGCCAGCGCAGGCGGAGCGGGCCGCGTGCTGGGCCGGCGCCTGGCCGCGGAGGGTGTCCGCTGTCGGGAAGCCTTCGCGCGGGGGAGGGGCTGCTGACCACGGAAGGTGGAGGGGGCGGTCCGCGGATGGGACTGGGGGGGCAGCCAGTGGCCGCTCGGCTGTCCCGCCCCCCACTCAACGCGGCCCTTTGTCCCTCCCTAGGCGAGGTTCCGCTCTCCCCGGGGGAGCCGTCGGAGCGCCCTGCCGAGGAAGAGGACGAGGACGAGGACGGCC